CTCAGAGCCTGGAGCCTGTTTCAGTCTGTGACTCCCTCTCTCTCTGACCCTCCCCTGCTCACGCTGTCTCTCTCCCTCTCTCTCCTAGAAATAAATAAAAACATTAAAAAAAAAAAAGATGCTTCTCTCCACCCCACCCCCATACCACCTCTGCCGCCATCACCACCCACCGGCCCTGACTAGGCAGCTGGGCTGTGGCCCCCAGAAGAAAAACCTGTGAAATACTGAGAAACCGGAAAATGTTTCTTGTCCAGAGAGATCCCTACAGGTAGCTGGCAGAGAGAAGGTGGTCAATGAATTTCTGCCAATGATGATTTGAGTCCTGAGCACCAGAAACCTATAATGTAGTGTTTAAAGGGGATAATCTAGGCCCATCTCTTTGCTTTACTGTGGAAACCAAAGTCCAGAGACGTGAAGTGACTTGCCCAAGGCCATGCCCGTAGTGAAGAAGCTGGGAATCATTGTTCAGATCTTCCAGGTCTGGGCTCATTGCTCATTCTTTAGGCAAACCAGCCTATAATGAGCAGAAGTTCTGTTTCTTGTGGTCAGGGCCTCAGCCACACCTCGACCGCCACTCAAGCTCAGATGACTTCAACGTGGAGTTTTCTTTTTCCCAAGTTCTCTTCCAACTCGGTAATGTGGTTGTGTCAGCCTGTTTTCTCCCCTGTAGTTCTTTAAAAAAAATTTTTTTTTAATGTTTATTTATTTTTTGAGAGAGAGAGAGAATGCGAGCAGGAGAGGGGCAGAAAAGAGAGGGAAACACAGAACCCAAAGCAGGCTCCAGGCTCTGAGCTGTCAGCACAGAGGCCAACGGGGGGCTCAAACCCATGAACAGCCAGATCATAACCTGAGCAAAGTCAGCTTCTTAATTGCCTGAGCCACCCAGGTGTCCCTTCTCTGCTGTAGTTCTAAATAATGTCTTTCAACCCTTGAGAAACCTCAGCGAGGAAACCAATGTAACTCTCTTCAGACAACAGAAGCCCCAGTCAAGCTCAGCTATTATCAGTTATTAATATTGTCATTATCAGTATCACGGTTTGGTCATCAACTATTGGCTAGGGCCAGGCAGTGACAAGCCAGCCGCTACGGTGGCCCCCATGGCGCGCACAGAGAGCAGGCCCGCCGCTCTGTCCCTCGCCGGGCGCCGCAGGCCTCCGGCAAGCGCCCACAGCAGGCACAGGAAGAAAATAAGCAAGTTGATGCGGGCCTGAGCTGAGTCATAAAAACTCTGACGGGAGAGTCTGAAGGAAGGTGACTGGAGCGTCCTGGCTCTGTGAGCAAACAGCTCAGATGGAGGTTGTGCAGAAATCGCTCCCAGCCCCTCCCATTTCCGGAGCCCCCGCAAGGGATCCGCAGAGCCCAGGGTGAGCCAGGGAGCCTCAAACTGGCATGTTATTGCCGATTTTTAAAAGGTACCAGTCATTGCCAATCCTCTGTTTTATCTCTTTTAATTGTTTTTAAAATTGTGTGCTCTGTGCCCTGAGGTGATTTGAACACCAAGGGCAGCACTTTATAAAATAAATAGATAATGAGCTATATTCCCTTCCCGGCAGGATGGAGATGGAGCCAGCAGGGGTGGGGTAGGGAGGGACACAGAGAGAAGCCTTCTGAGGGTTTTCGGGCTGCAGGGCCTCACTCCTGCTGGTCGATCCTTCCCTTGTTCCTCCTACGGTTTCACGCTGGTCTTCTGAGCACCAGCAGGAGCCAGAAAATTGGAAGCCAGGAAGTTTCACGAGTCGTTTGGAAATGTCTGTGGGGTTTGGTGCTGCCCAGGCCCGCCCGGCAGAGCCAGCTTGAGAAGGCGGGATTCCTGCAGGGACTGTGTCTTCACAGAGTTGTAGAGAACACAGCCCCACAGTCAGGAGGGGAGAGATATGACTGAAAGGAAAAATCTAGATCTAGGGGCTCCTGGGTGGCTCAGTTAAGCATCCGACTCTTTTCTTTTTTAATGCTTTTGTTTATTTTTTGAGAGAGTGTGAGCAGGGGAGGGGCAGAGAGAGGGGGACAGAGGATCCAAAGCAGCTCTGCATTGACAGGCTGACAGCAGCGAGCCCCATGCGGAACTCAAACCCAGGAACTGCAAGGTCATGACCTGAGCCAAAGTCAGAAGCTGAACTGACTTGAGCCACCCAGGCACCCTATAAGCATCCAACTCTTGATGTCAGCTCAGGTCATGATCTCGCGGTCTTGAGATTGAGCCCACAGTTGGGCTCTGCGCTGAGCGTGGAGACTCCTTGAGATTCTCTCTCTCCCTTTCTCTCTCTCTCCTTCTCTCTCTCAAAACAAAACAAAACAGAAAACAAAAACAAAAAAAAAACAAAAAGAAGGGAGAAAGAAGGAGCTATCGGACAACAGATGTCCACAGCATACAGGCACACAGATTTGGCTACTCTGTGTTCTGGCAGGATGTAGGAAAGAGAAGTGAGAGCCAGACAAAAAGTCCCAGAGAACAACCACACATTTCACATTTGCTTGGTGCTCTGTGGTTGAATCAACACTTCCCTTCCCTGGAAAATTTTGCCTAAGCAATATGGCTTCAGGGAAATGAAGTCCTGGGCCATTTTGGGAAGAGAGACCTACTCTTGCTGAGAAACACAACTGTAAGTGATAAGGGGAAAGAGGGCCTTATTTCCTGACTCATTAAAGCAAGACAGTGTTTAATAAATACCATTTGCTGATGAAGTTCTGACAAGGCCACTCAATAACCCATGATTCTGACTATCCCACTTAAGAATCTGCTTGAGCCCAGACTTCAGCTGCTATTAATAGAGGTCATACTGTTGGCAGGCTGAAGCAGGTTCTACGCACAGGAGGGCAAATACCGAGTGAGGGACCCAAGAAACCACAGGTATTTCGATCTAAGTCACAACATCATTTCAGCCCAATTCCACTGCCCTCAGAGGCCAGGCCGACTTCCTGCCATTCCATCATCACTTCTACCTGCTAAGCAATACTTCTTGTACTGTTTTATTATATAATGAAAGGTGTATACATACTTATTTCAGGAAACTCAAATAAAAGGATTGAGTCCCCATATCCTACTCAGTCTTGCTGCAAACCCTCATATCCTTTTCTAGGCATGTATGAATGAATACTGTATACAAGATTTTTAAGTGGGATTATACTGTTTTATAACATATATTGAAAATACCTCTCTATGCCTATGACACACTTCTATCGTATCAGCTTTATTAAATTCAAGGGTTTTTAAAAATTATATGGATGTGCCATAGATTATATTTACCCAATCCCTTATTGCTGGACAGCTAGATTGTTTACAGATATTATTATGGGGTTCTCTGGGGTCATGTCAAGGTAAAGAAAGCACACCACTGGATAACGGGGTTACGGTAGAATAGCATAATGGCCAGAATGTTCGGGTAGGAAATAGAGAGCACAGTACAGAAAAGGGACTATGAGAGAGAAAAACCGCTCTCAGAAAAATAGTATTTCTGTCTGACATCATGTAGACCACAGCTGCAATCCTGGAGTTTTTCTGGGCTCTTCTCCCAGCTCAGTGGAGATTTTGCCATTTAAATGACATAAAGAAGCTTTATCCATATGGGTCCTGTTGTTTCTATGTGGTGGTGGTAGATGGGTCACTAATTCCATTAGCTTTGATTATGAATGTTTCAGTTAAATAACTAGATAATAAATCACCCCACAACTTACTGGCTTAAATCAGTCATCATATTTGCCTGTGATTCTGTGGGTCAGCAAACAGGGCTGTATTGGGTGGTTATTCTGTTCTGTATGCTGTTTTCTGGAGTCATGCACTTGGCTTCATTTACATGGTGGCTGGGCAGTAGGTCTAAGCAGAACATTCATATGTCTGGCACCTCAGCACTTCTCCACATGGCCCCTCTCTCTCTCCACATGGTTAGCTTGAGCTTCCTCGCCCCATGGAAGTCTCAGGGTAGCCAGCTTCTTACATGGCAACCGTTTCCACGTAGGACAAAATTTGAAGCTACTGATGTCCTTAAGGCCCGGCCTTAGAAGATACACAATGTCACCTCCAGTGCATTCTATATGTCAAAGCCAGTCTCAGGGTCAGTCTAGATTCAAAGAAAAAGGAAATAGACTCTGCCTCTTGATGGGAGGTAAGGCAAAGAATTTGCATCCATCTTAATCTACTACAGTAAATCCGATGAAGACAAAAGGGTTACAAGGCCCTCGCATAATTAAGAAACAGAACACTATGGCGCTGCACATCACTAAGGCCCAAGTGTGGACTCGTCCAGTTGGGAGAGTTTCCTCCAGTTCTGAGCAATAAACCAAAAGAGACCATTACCAGGTGGCTTGTGGGAAATGGAGCCTTTGGCAGAGCTCACATCCAGGAGACAATAGTGACTCGGATCCTGCCCCACGGCCCCCAGGCACAGGGCTGGAGAAGGGTTTTTCAGTCCCACTCCTCCCTCTGCTGCTGAGTTTACTTACTCCTGGCCTCCAGCAAGGCACCTGCTTCTCCTTTTGCAGATTCCTCTCTCCTTAAGTGCAGTGATTCTTTCCCAAGCCTGCATTATATGGGTTTGAGATCTTTGTGAGATCCTTTGCGCTGAAATTACAAATACTGGTTCTGTAAGTGTTGATATGCTTCCTCAGACTGGGAAAAGAAAAGAAGATGTAGGTTGCCTCAGGAAAATAGTGAATTTACCACGTAAGAGTTCATCATTTCTTTTCACATGGGGCCTTGAAATACCTAAAATCCCTCGCATGTCATTGGGCTCTAGAGGTCTGTGTGAATCAGCCACTCGCTCAGGGGAAGACCGTGACTGCCCCTCACAATTACTGTGATGCTACAGGGAGTTTGTTGGTCACACCTACTCCCATCTGCTTATTGATTCTACAGTTTCTTACAGGCTTGTCCAAGTGCTGGGTTGGCCCACACTTAATATCAAGTCATTCGTTGCCTGATTCCCACTGGACTGATAAAATAAAAAAAAAAAAGATGCTGCCACTTGGGATACAGTATCTCTGAAATGAAGCTATCTGTGGGATAGTATGTAGGCAAATGGGCCACAAGATGGACAGGAAGTTGGATCTTCTATTGTAATCCATACACAACCTTGGGCCAAGCCGTGGAGGTCTACTCTGCAGAAATGTACAGACTGGGGCTTACACTTGGGGCATCTGGGTGGCTCAGTGGATTAAACTCATACTCTTGATCTCTGCTCAGGTCACAGTTTCATGGTTTGTGAGTTCAAGTCCCATGTAGGACTCTTCGCTGACAGCACAGAGCCTGCTTGGGATTCACTGTCTACCTCTCTGCTCCTTCCCTGCTTGCTCTCTGTCTCTCTGCCTCTCTAAATAAATAAATAAATAAATAAATAAATAAACTTTAAAAAGGGCCGGGGTGGTGTCGCTTAGACTTAGCGTCTCTTTGCACTCTAAACTGATCAGATGAGGTCTGGCCAGCTCTTTAATATTTAGTTTCTTTTTCACAGTCCAGCCTGAAGCCTTGTGCCTATTTGATTTGTACAACGTATATGTGGCTGGTGCTGGTGAATTGAGACAAATATCTTTTCAGAACCAAAAATGACTCCATTTTTCCCTATATCTCCCTCCAACTGTAAGGCAGTGCTCTAAATGCTGGGAGTTGGGACAGAGGCCTGCTTCCCCGGGGAAAGGAGGATTCCACCCCCCACCACAGTCCCTTAGGCTTCTCTTGTTATATAGTCTCTAGACCATTGGGAAGGAATCAAGATATTACTTTATTCGATCAGGATCATTTATAAATAGAACCACTTTCTGCTTCACTGCAGCTCATGATATTGAGATGAGTGAATTAAAGTAAACGGCTATTAGAGAAAGTAGGGGAGTGAATTTTAATGTGACATATGGCAGATCGTTCTCTGGAATCTTTGCACATTGTAACCATTGTGTAGGCAATGGGGGTAAGCACTTTGGGGCTTGTATACCAGGTCCGCACACCTGGTACAAGGCTCTTTGGACCTACTTTGGACCAGACCAAATGTAGGAGAAGGGGACCCTGGCCTCCTGTCCCTCCCCCACCCCACCTCACCACCTTCTGAATCTGAAGTTAGCAGGTTTCCACACACCGAGTTTCATCTGTGGCTCCAGAGGAAGAAATGTTCTGTCTCTGCTAGAAAAGGCCATTTCACCAGGTGCCAGCAGGTCTGGAAAAAGTCTAGGAAAAAAGAGGAAAGGGGTGTGTATGTGAGAGACAGACAGACAGAGACAGAGACAGACAGAGAGAGACTGGAAGGGAGGGAGGGATTGAGAAAGAACATGAACTCAGTCCTGGGCTTTCTTACAGTGTTGGCTCTCTGGCCTCACTGCGCTGGTCGGTACATCCTGCTGAGAACATGCCCTCCCTTCTCTCAGAAACCTGAAAGGGGACTTTGACTTCATTCACTGGTCTGATTTGGGCATTGTGACAAATCCGTTATCCGGGCTTTCTGTTTGGCCTTTTGTGACACTCTGAGGGGGTAGCTCTGTCTTTTCTCTCTCACACACACACCCCCGCCTCACACTCCCACTCCCACGTTAAGATTGGATTCTCCTGCTTAATGCAGAGAGCTGTGAGGACCTAAATACTAAGGTGTAGCGTCAGAGTGAGGGAAAGAAATGAGTGGGAAGGAAATTCACTCAAAAGGACTTTGAGTATGCAGATGGGACTATTTTTTTAAACTTTATTTTGAATTCATTTCAGGCTACAGAAAAGCCCAAAGAATTTTTTTTACAGAAAAATTAAAAAGTGCAAAGAATACTGTATACTCTTCATCTCATTTGCTTATCATTTTCTCTCTTTATATGCTTCTGAACTAGTTGCAAATAACTTGCACATATGATGCCCCTTTATCCCTAAATATTTGAGCATGCATTTCCAAAAGAAAGAAAGAAAGAAAGAAATTTTCTTCCCTAACCTCAATACATTATCAAAATCAGGAAAAGAATATAGATGTAATACTATTATCTAAACTACATATCTTTTTCAAATGTTATCGGTTTTTCTAACCATGTTCTGCTATAGCAGAATAGAACATTTTTTTTTTTTTTATCCAGAAGCCAAACCAAGATTACACATTATCATGTCTCTTTAGGTTCCTTCAGTTCCTCAGTCTTTGTCATTCGTGACATTGACAGTTTGAAGCATCTAAGTCATTGATTGAATAGACCGTGCCTCTTTGGGAGAGTGTCAGATGCTTCCTCACAATGAGATTCAGGTCGTACGCGTTTGGCAGGAACACCAGAGGTGATAGTATGTCCTTAGCGCATCACGTCAGGAGATACAGGATATAGATTTGTCCCATTTTCCCCTTGTGATGTTAATTCTTATCACCTGATTCAGGTGTAGTGTGCCAAGCCTCTCCACTCTCAAACGACTATTTTTCTCTTTGAAATCAAGAAGTATTTTACAAGGAGATACTTTGAGGTTGTATAAATGGGCTGTTTCTCATCAAACTTTTACCCACTATACATCCATTGCTAATTCTTGCCTGAATCAATTACTGCTATGAAAGTTGCCAAATGATGATTTTCTAATACGATTATATCTTCCATACTTAGTCGTTGAGACTTTATCATACAAAAAGGCTTTTCCACCATTTATGTATTTATCAGTATGGACTTATATTTTCATATTTCTTATTTTATTCATTAGACTTTAAACCACTACTATTTTTTTTCAAAATTCCGATTGCCCCAGGTACGGCCAGTGGGAGTTCCTTGCAGCTGTCTCCTTTTGTCCTTGTGACATGTCCAGTCAGGGCTATTTTTGAGGGGAGATGCTCCAGAACTCTGGCCCAGAATCTTTCTCCAAATTATGGAAGTTTAAATCACACACAAAAATGCCATTTTTTAATATTATGATAAAACACACATTACATGCCAGTGAATTTTAGAGTTCCAGTGGAGTAACGAAACATTTATGAACACACATTTCGTTGTCTTTCTATACACCAGACTCATTTTGTAAGTCAAGGCTTGCCTCTGTCTCCCATCTCCTGGTCTCAATGTGAGGCCAGTCCACTTCACAACAAACCCACTGAGGAAATAGGGGAGAGAGAAGAGTCAGGGAGGTGGAGAGAAACAGAGAAGGGGAGGGGAGGGAAGGGAAACTCCTCTCGCCATCCTTGAGAGTGGCCTTGCACCTGCAACTTCCTCATGCCCCCCATGCACACTGACCCCTCTAGGAAGTCAACCATCTGCTGTCACAAGCACTAGTGTAGACAGAATGCAGGACATTTTGTCAGAGGTTAGAACAGTCGCCGTCATCTCAGAAAAGGGGCTGGGAGGCTATGCAGGCTGTGTTGAAGGAACTCAGGTTTCCTCGCCACAGCTACACCACTGGAAAGGATGGAAAGGAAGGAGAGAAAACACTGGGTAGGTGATGTCCCCCTCCCCTCCCCCTCACTAGGACTCGCACCACAGGCTGGAGGCGCTTCTGGCAGAATTGAGTGCTGGGGAAAGCCTGCGATAAATCAGCTGTCTTCACTAGCCAGGGGGTTGCTATGGCAATAGGAATACACTGTAGGTTTTAAGAGATGTAATTTTCTGTGATTCACTGTATATTTTTAGCCATTTTTCTTCCTGTATTGTCTCCCTGTGGCAATTGCCTATTAACGCTGGCCTGCACCAAGATTGGACTAAACGGTCCGTTCTCAAAAGTGATGAAAACCCTAGAGATGGGTAAGTACAGGAGGGTTATGACCCATGGATTTAAGGGTAACCTGGGGAAACAACCGGCTGGGTGCAGGACACGCATTAATTAGCGTGGACCGTGCCACATCTAAGGAAGAGTAAAGGAGAATGAAAAGCCCCAGAAATATGGTACTGCGTTGCTTGGAATGGGAAACTGAGCCACACTCCTCACTGCAGTCAGGCTGCTGACACAGCAGAAACAAGCCTCCTGAGTGAGGGAAACTAGGACCCAGGTTTCTGAACAAGGAACTATAAAAGCATACTGACCTTCTGTTGATTCGCCATTCTTTCCTTTTCTTTCATCTTTTCTGCTTTCCGTCCTTCAATTTTTCTCATCTTTTTGCCATAAAATTTGAGGGAGGGACTGAGCAAAGGTGAATATTCAGTCAGTCCATTTGGCTCTTTGTGAATAGTTCTATCAGGAGTTTTTCCATCTGGAGCAGTGGAAAACCCAACCTAAGCTGTTAAAGCACAAAGAGAACTTACTTTCTCTCATTACTGAAAAGTGCAAGGGCCAGTCTCAGACACAGCTGCTCATGGGTCCGGTGACATCATCAATACCTGGGCTCGTTGTCACACCAAGTTCTACTGATGCCTTGGCATTTGGGCTGCCATAACATAAAACTCAGCTAATGGAGGCTTCAACAAAGTGTAGTTTACTTTTCTCTCGTAAGAAGTCCAGAGATAGGATTTTTCCCCCTCATATAACAGGTAGCCCAGAATAGGCACCAATGACATTACCATGCAGCAGCTTATTAATGTTACCAAGAGCCCAACCTCTTTCTTCATTTCAGTTCTACCATCTTTAGGGTCACAGAAGGGACTGCTCAGGCTGCAGGCATTCATGGCAGAAGGAAGAAGTAGCTGTATCTGATTCTTTTATCTAGAAAAGCAAATCTTTCCCCAGAGTCCCCAGCCAATCTCTGCTTCCAGCTGATTTGACACGTCAATGCCACCAGAAGGCTAGGAAAACAAATTTTGTGGTCTTCCTGGCTCCTAGAGTAGAGGCTATTTTTTGTTTGCTCATTTGTTTGTATGTCAAAGAGAAGCCATACCCAGGACTGTGGGATGGGTCTGCCTCGTCATCACAGGGTCTGCTTTGTTACTCCATTGTTGTCCTTTCCCAGCTGGGAGGGGAAAGTAGAAGAGAAGGGCAAGAAGCTTCCTTTTAAGGCTGTGATACAGAAGTTTCACTCATCATTTCTCTTCTGCTCATGTCCCATTGGTCTAGTCTAGTCTAGTCACATGGTCACAACTAGCTGCAAGGGAACTTGGGAAATGTACAGTTTGCATAGCCATGTGCCCAGGCAAAACTTGGGGAGTTCTGTTGCTAAAGTGAATATGAGAAGTATGGCAGGACAATTAGCAACCTCCTCCAGCACAGTTGTTAGAGAAAGGATTTGAATGGGTGTTGGTTTAGCCAGCCAATCCACTTCTGCATCGGCCTCGTTCTCAGAGAGGCTTACGTCTGTGGAGATTAAGATAGCTTTAGCAAACCAGCCTCACACCCTCCAAGCCCATTAGTGAAAGAGCTCAACATCTTTGCAGCTGCCCTGGTCAACCTCATAACATCTCCTCGGTTCTGATCGGATCTTCTGCCCATCCTTGAGCGATGGAGATGCAATGCAATGCTCTGATCAGTCATACACGAGTCACTTGCTCCACCAAATCACCGAGACCTTTCTGGGCTTCAGTTTGCTCATCTGTACAATAGACATAACAATAGAACCTACCTCACAGGGTTGGTGGAAAAGTGCCACTCATGGCCACTGTCCATAAATGCATTTTCACTTGACCCTCTGACCAGACTCACCTTAACAGTGTCATTTTAGAAGATAAGACTGCTAAAAAGCAAAGCAAAGCCAAGGCTGTTGGGTCACCGGCCTGTATTTTACCTCCTAGTACGTCCCAAAGTAAAAATACTTATCCAGCACTTGCTAGGTGCTCAGCACTGTGTTGAACACTTCCCTGAATTCTATTATAATCCTCAGAGTGGCTCCTTGGGAGAGACACTTTCACTGTTTTCATTGAACCGGTAAAGAAGTTTCGATCCTTGCCCTAAGGTCACAGCCAGCACAGTGATGGAGCCACAGACCTAAGACCTCACATTCTGCTCCCTCTTCTTATGTGAAAAAAACGTAATATCACACACTTATGGAATCATGGAAATCTGGCTGGCTGTGGCAGTCATGAGCAAGCACAGTTTAGCTCCCCCTTTGAGAGAGGACATGCTACAAGGGTGTAGCGAGCTGACAGCCGCCAGCCGTGGCGCCTTTCGGGATCCACTGAAGTCTTGCTCTCCCTGAGCACAGCAGTGGCCCAAGAGCCCAGCCAGGCCTGCCCAGTGGGGACTTCTTGGCTCTTGGGCTTCCCAGCAGCCTGGGCATAACTTTCTTGGAGCTGTGTTTTCTTCCTACCCAAGCCTCTTTCCTGTCGTCCCTCCTCTGGTGAGTGTGAGACCTGGGTGGTTGCCTGAAGGCTTTCCTTACCTGGCCCCCCTCCCTCACCCTGCATCCTTCTCAGGTGTTCTTCCCAATACCTTTATTGCATACTTACTTCCATCTTGACATCTGTTTATCAAAGGACCTGAAATGACACACTTCTTGTACCCACCTTGACTCACTGCATGGGCTTTGCCACAAGTATGTATGTTTCCAAAGATTCTCGAGTGT